CTTGTTAAATGTAAGTTTCGGACTGGGGTCTGCAAGAGGCATATTGGTTTATGAGGCTGCCATATTACACCGGCATTAGTCCCTACTATTACATGCACACACACACGCACGCATTCGGGCATTCATGCTGTGTTTAACTAGGCTGATTTGACCTCAACTTAACCAAATAATACATGTGAGCGCCGGCCTTGATAAGCGACACAGCTTTAACGTTAGCGACTCTTCGCTGCATTCCACAAACACCAGCGTTTTTATCTTCAGTGCATACAGTGTTGAATGCTGGCGTTAACAACAGGAGGAGGTAAGGCAAATGAGTTGCTCTATGTGTATGCTGCCAACTGCTAGTTTCTTACTTCAGCACAGAACAACAAATAGTTCATGGGGACACACACTAAAAACAATAATGATGATTAAATCGATCACTAGATATGCCCATGTTTGATATGATCTAGAAGAACTCGCGTGTTCGTCAACTGTGCATACAGTGTTGAATGGTGGCATTAACAACAGGAGTTGTTGACGGCCTGTAGCTTGTTATATTGTCTGTAGTTTTAAATGTACATGCTAGTTTTACATCTGGATCTGTGATTTTCTGGATGTATTAAAGTAGTTCGTCAACACTTTTGGTTTGGTTTTTGTTGTTGTTTCTTTTAGTATTCTCGGTTTATGTGCATTGAATATATACATTGTTTTAGTTTTAGCTGAAATAATAATAGTAATAGTAATAGTCCGCTTATATGGCGCTCATATCCAGGCACATTGCCTACTCACGGCGCTACGTACATTACTATCCCCGGTCATAGGACACTATCGTACTTTCTGATACTTTTTCAACTCCCTGGGGATCATACAACCATGCTGCCTGTTAGGCGCAATGAACTTAACACTCATATTGCCAGCACATGCTCACGGGTACCCACTTTACAGCTGGATGAACTGAGACAATGCGGATCTAAGTATCTTGTCCAAGGATACTACGCAAATGTGCCCACCTCGGAACCCAAATCTAGGTGCCTCCACCGGGGATCAAACCCGGGCCTTCAGAGTGATAGGCAGACACCTTACCACTTCACTACTCCTATCCATGTGACCAGAAACCTTAACTCACTTACTCATTTGTTATTAGTCTTTATTTGCTTCCAGAAAATGCAGGCTTTAGTGAAGAAACGTTACATGGCTATTGTGGCTGCACTTTTCTTGCTTCATCTTTCAACGGGAACAGGTATTATACTGCCCACCTAAAGGCATATGTAACCGATATAACTGTTATAACAAATTGGTATTTGTTCACCTTATACTGAATCTAAATCTATCGCTCAACCTCTAGTGTAAGTGTACGGAGCAGTGTCTAAGCCACAAACGAGTCAGAGAAGCGTTAAATGCACATACATCAACAAATGGCTGACTGGTTATGGAAAACGAGACAAACCAAGAAGGTTTTACAAAATTCGTGTTAAACTGAACACGAGAAATTGTTTCCTTACCATACCCTTGGAAATTCCTTAGAGTATATCACACAGGCTTCTGTCTTTGATTCAGTCCTAACAAATGATAATAAGATGTATGACTGACAACTGACGAATATTCTTGTAACTTAAAACAGCCTCTTATAATGATGAAAATGTTCATACTTCATCTTAATTGTTAAAGTATTTACATATAAAGAAGTTACGATAAGATTCCATTAGATATATGTATGTATGTATGTATGTATGTATGTATGTATGTATGTATGTATGTATGTATGTATGTATGTATGTATGTATGTATGTATGTATGTATGTATGTATGTATGTATGTATGTATGTATGTATGTATGTATGTATGTATGTATGTATGTATGTATGCATGTATGCATGTATGTATGTACGTATGTATGCATGTATGCATGTATGTATGTATGTATGCATGTATGTATGTATGTATGTATGTATGTATGTATGTATGTATGTATGTATGTATGTATGTATGTATGTATGTATGTATGTATGTATGTATGTATGTATGTATGTATGTATGTATGTATGTATGTATGTATGTATGTATGTACGTATGTACGTATGTATGTATGTACGTGTGTATGTATGTTTGTACGTATGTACGTATGTATGCATGTATGTATGTATGAACGAATGAATCACATATGCATACAGATAAATCTGATTAAGATCTGGATGCATGGCCACTCCTAACTATTACAAATCAATGATTTCAGTGGTTTTTCGTCTTGTTCCTGGACCCAACATGGGGGTTCTACAGATTCTGAACGGTAATACATGGGGAACATTGTGTACGTCATACTTTGGCTATGCAGAACGCAATGTTGTGTGCAGACATCTGGGATATAATACGTAAGTGTCAGATGGGATAATGGGCTATATTGTTCCTGTTGTGGACAGCGTTGTCTTCAGATTGAGAAATGATGACTGAGTTACAATAATTGTCTTGAAGACATGTACTGTGTTATTAGATATTGAATACAATGTGTACCTTATATCTTACATACTTATGTCTGATTCTGATCGGTTTGGACTAATTCGATAATTTCAAAAATATCATGTTAACTTTAAAGTGCAGTTTGTCACGATATTGCATTACATTTGCATCAACCCGAAGAAGATCCGGATAAGAATATTGATCTTCAGTAGCAGATGTTTGTCGCAAGGGGCGACTAACGGGATCGGGTGGTCAGACTCGATGACTTGGTTGACACATGTTGTCGGTTCCTAATTGCGTAGATCGATGCTCATGCTGTTGATCATGGATTGTCTGGTCCAGACTCGATTATTGACAGATAAAGGTCCCCTCTACCATGTTGTCAAACATCATGTACATAGATGATACTCTTACGATGTATATATTTTCAATGTAAAATGTATAGTTTCCCACTGCTGATTAATGAACATTTTTCACATATAACTTGCAGTTGAAATATTTCAAAGGCATTTAGAAGTTGGTGTAGTCATACAAGACAAATAGTATGGATAGCAACTTTTTATTTGTTTCTCACGACGTTTGTGGGCTAGTTCTTGGCCCTTGGATGGTGGATGAAGAAGAGGCAAAAACTGGCCCAGAAACGTCGTGAATAACAACTAAACAAGTTGTTCTCCATAACACGTCTCTTGTATTACGTTTGAAATATGAAAAACAAATACTGTGAGTCGATTGATGATGTAAGACGCTCTAACAAATGACATAGGTGAGTCTACTGTCTATATTTGTTTTAGTTTTCCGATCTCGCCTGTGCCTCTTAGGCTAACATAGAGTGTCAATAAAACCGTCGTTGACGTGATCTCCCTCGTGAGGGGTGGCCAACACATAGTCTCCTCATTGTTTAACGGCCATGCCGCGTACAGTTTGTGAACAGTTATAAGTAAGATCAGATTTAGATACTAAATTTCCCAAACTGTGAACACTTAATTTATTCCTGTCGAAACATGCTTCACCTCAATATGACACTAGTGTATTTATGCACTTGATACCATAGCAAAAATAGCGTTTGCAACTTTTTTCAGCAACAGCAATATTCAGCGAGATTTCGGGTCACTACCCGGAAGTGTTAAATATCTGGCAAGATTCAACTGCAATGGAAAGGAAATCAATTTCAACAGTTGCCCAGATTTTAACTTGACCCGTTGTTCTTACTCAAGCACAGTTGGATTGGCGTGTCTGAGTGGTATGTATCACAGTTGTATATCAGACATCCACAGTTGCAAAATACTGTGATGTTTCGCCAAGGGCTAAAATAGACGATGATGATGTTGTTGATGATGATGATGATGATGAGGCGACTAACGGGATCGGGTGGTCAGGCTCGCTGACTTGGTTGACACATGTCATCGTATCCCAATTGCGCTGATTGATGTTCATGCTGTTGATCACTGGATTGTCTGGTAAAGATTCGATTATTTACAGACCACTGCCATATAGCTGGAATATTGCTGAGTGCAACGTAAAACTAAACTCATTCACTCACTAACTCTACTTCGATATACGGAGTGTTTAAGACAGACATACTCGTACTCTTCAACAATACTCTTGAATAAGTTCTTGATCTCAGCTAATGGAAAATGGATAAACACCTGTAAACAAAGTATGTCGATATGTTTAACTTGTTTAACTGAGCCCTCCTCACGTGTAAGACGTGTCCATTGAATCTTGCAGACTCCACTCTTTTGAAAACCTTTTAACATGACAAAGTTTATTTTCATAACTTGTACACGTAGCCACATTGACGTTTGTTTAGCTTCGGCGTTGAATCAGTTGTTTCAATTAGAGCTGTTTTGATTTAAATCTGAGAAGTCTGATTGATAACTCAGAATCAGTTTTTTATTCCTGGCACGATTGTCACATATTAAAAATATGGCTCTCTGCTTTGCCTGACGTATCCACGTTTACATGACACAGAGACTGAGACTTTGGTAACCCTTGGCATCCAGAAGAAGAGGGACGTCGATGAGGAAAGTCCGTTGTATTGTTCAGTGTTCTTTAAGACATTCACCTTACGTGTATGCATGGACACGAAACGGAAACATTCAGCACAATCAGACATCTAGTGCGATCAGAATGAAGCGCTATGATTCTGGAAACTGGATTTTCTATGTTCATTGTAATGTGGTTGTTAATCATTAAAGGAAAAGAAACCTCCGCGTGATATCGATTGTTTGCATATATTGGTGTTTTGCGTTACATCTCATTTACGTGACCGCCTCAGTGGTGTAGTGGTTAGAGCGTCCGCCCGGATCGCGGGTTCGATCCCTGAGCGTCATACCAAAAGACGTTAGAGCTTGGTAACTCTTTAAGCATCCAGAAGACCACGCATGAGACATCAATGAGGAAATATTCTCAAGCAGGTCAGTTGTATTTTACGTTCACAGACACAGTACTCAAGACAGTCCCCTCAAGACAGTCCCCTACGTGTATGCATGGACACGAAACGGAAACATTCAGCATAATCAGACATCTAGTGCGGCCAGAATGCAGCGCACCGATTCCGGAAACTGGACCTGCACTGTCTACTCGAGAACTGGATACAAACGCCTTGGATCAGACTCAGTTATGGTGACAGTTCTGTGTAAGTATGGCACACAAACACAAGGACACACAAGCGGCATATAATGAAGCACTCAAACTGACAGTATATTTTTGTGTGCTGCCTGTATAAGTCCGTAATTATCAATTTTAAAACTAAATGACGGTCTGTAAATAGTAAAGGTCAGAGAAACGATTGATCAACATCGTGAGCATCTTGTATACGATGACATGCATCACCAGTCAACAAGCCTGACCACCAGATAATATTGGTTGTCTCTTACGGCAAGCACAGGTTGCTGAAGATCAGTTATAAACAAAATCTTCACTAATGTAATAAAGTCTATATAATAACCAAGAGACATCAAAAGGAATTTGTAATCCAAGGGTGCCAAATATTTACAACTTATCGTTTTACATAGCAACAGGAAGAAACAGACTGTATCAAACTCCTTTAAAATCCTATTTGGTATTGTTTAAGGAGCCTCCTTGATTTGACAAACCTTGACAAACATGACCTGTTTCATTATATGACAAGTAATTCCACAATACTTCAGACCACCCATACAGCTTGACCATGAGGACCATTTACGCCCAACGAGGAGACACAGTGAATCTGAGCAGGTCCGACATCAGCCTTCCAGCACCACACGTCTTCAGATGGCGCCAGACCGGTCTGGACTCCGAGTTCGCCGAATCGACCAAACCACCAGTCATACCAAATATACAGCTGCATCACTCGGGGGACTATATCCTGGATGTCACAAACATGTTCCCCTCAGGGCGTTCATACTCTGGCATGGATCTAATCAAACTGTATGTGTCATGTAAGTCATACTATTTTATAAAGAGCTTCAATAATGGATTCTTTTTATATTCCTTAATGTGAAAATGGAAGAATTAATGCTTATTTGGTATTCATGTTACAATGTATCAAAGCTGGTATTGTTATATCAAAACACATGTTTATTGTATATTTTCATAGAATTAATCACAGGCGAAATACTGATAATAGTCTCTCCAGTAACTAAGAAAGTGACGAAAATTATATTTTGTGCTTTTCAAACACATGTAACCCTTGATAATCTAGATGATGCTTTCCCCCAGAACTGCTACGATCAATGCATTTCTGAAATAATATATTCTTCTCTTCATAAAAATAATTATGACAGGAGTTGTGATGAATGTGTATTGGTAACTAAGGAGGTTTCATTAAATGTAATTAGTTATTGTAGATGTCTTTCAGTGGCATTTAGAACTAAGGATGTCCAAGATATTTTATGGATTAAACTTTTAATTTTCATTAAATGTACTTAGACCATTCCAGGTCCCAGGTTGTAAATTAAAAAGACTTAAATCTTATCTTGAAGTGATTCTACAACAAAGTGATTCCAAAATATTCCAAAGTTAAGATTCAGCTTGTTCACATTTAGATGCCCCTCCATCAAATGCGAAAGGGAGGTATCAGTGGTGGAGGGAAAGTCTCTCGATTTAGAGTGTGACGTCGAAGCCTACCCAGATCCACACACCCTGACATGGTCGCACAGTACAGGATACAAGAAAGAGGTGTCCAGCATGACAGAGAAATACCATATTCCTAAGGTCTCTCACTCTGATGGCGGCCTCTACACCTGTGAGGCCCAGAACAACATCACCGACCGCGATGGAAACGTTGACATTGGCGTTGGAACGTGTACCATACGGGTAACTGTCCACGACGTCGAAGGTGAGTGAGTTAGTGAATGAGCGAGAGAGTTTAGTTTTAGTCCGCTCTATGCAATATTCCATCTACAGTACAACCAGAAATTATTGTGAAGTTAAAGGTTGTAATTTTTTAATTTTTTTCACTCATTACTCACGTATTAAACGTGAATATTAGCAGAACATAACTCCAGATTCAAAGACAGGTGAACAGTTAGTATTTTGTACAAGTCACCATGGGCAGCTATGCAGGCTTCAAATGCGGCGGGGCATACTACTGATCAAAGAAGTTAAAAAGTCATGGTCCATGCTGTCCCAATATCGGACAACCTCTTCTTTCATTTCAGCAATATTTGTCAGATTTTTATTATTGACACTTTCCTCCATAACTTCCCAAACATTTTCTATTGGATTTAGGTCAGGGCTATAGCTTGGCCAATCTAATAGTGTCATATTTTGGGCCTGTGAATGCTTTGAACGATGTTTTGGGTCGTTGTCCTGCTGGAAAATCAAAAACATTTCCATACAACAGGTGAGCAGATGGAAGTCAATGTCCCTCAAGAATATCTGTGTACCGCTCACTGTTCATATTCCCTTCAAATACACAAAGGGGCGTTGTCCCTAAGCCACCACACACGTTAAATTTGGGACTGTACTTTGGGGACTGATACAGAGGTTTTTCAGTTTGTTTGGTCGAGAATTTCAGTGTATTAGGAAACAGCCACAGAGAACTTTCATCTGAGAAAATCACATTGTCCCAGTTAAACTTTCTATGCTGTAAGCACCAGTTCAACCTTCGCTCCTTTTGTTCAGGTTTCATGATCGGTGATGGAATTTCCTCGACTTTTCTGCCAACCCACTGCATGCAGCTTAGTTCTAATTGTCTCCTTACAGACAGCCACAGTTCTTCTATCAATCATATCCAGTCTTAAGTTTTCTAACTCCTTCGTTTGTTTTTAGAAACAAGAATACCAAGCCGCCTTCAATCACTGACAGTCGATTGGCTGGGCCTACCTGCGCCTCCTTGCTGAATACCATATCCATTTGCAATATTTTTCAAAACACGATAAACAGTGGACAAAGGGATGCCTGTTCTACTTGAAATCACTTTAGCTGATCTGATGTCCTTGTTATAATACTCTAAAATCAACGTCCTCTTCTCTAAATCATCCATACTGGGGATCACTGAAAATGTCGTCTGCTAGCAAGTAAGCAAAGGGGGATAACTCTTCACAAACTAATAAAAAAGAATTAACGGAGTTGTCTCTCTTGAATGAAACCAAGCACTTGATAGCTGGTCCAGGTTGTTTATGCTAGAAATCCAATTAAACATATTCTTAAAATTCTCAATAATTTCTGGTCATACTATATATGGCGGCGGTCTGTAAATAATCGAGTCTGGATCAGGTTATCCAGTGATCAACAGCATGAGCATCGATCTACGCAAGTAGGGCACGGTGACATGTTCCCACCGATTCCGTTTGTCTCTAGAAGCGTGCATTACTGAAGACCAATTATAACCCCAATCTTCACGGGTTTCCTTCATAATGGCGATTTCTAGGAAACCGCTGAATGTAACGCACAAACATATTACTGAATATCGACGTATTTATAACAATATGTTTGAGATAGTTTATCATTAGTGATTGACAGTGATGTCTTGCTGCTTAAAATATCCAAATATTGCGCAGGAAAATATTATGTACAGATTGTTTAATTTTCATTGTAAGATTCTGTAAGTCACTGGTTTCTTAATACATTCCTGAATTTCAGCTACAACATTACCAGTTGTTGCTGCCAATTCACACAAGGGAGGCAACTCTATGACGACTGTTGTGTATGTTGTTGGCACGATCCTTGTCCTGAGTGCTCTCGTTCTTGTCATTGTTCTCGTGGTGTTGACACTGAAGCGTCTCCAGATGAAAGGTACTTGTCGGCTTGGAACATATTGACCTATCACATCCTAAAACAGTAGAATTAGATATGACTTTAAAAGGATTCATTTCACAAGAGTATGTGTTGAAGTTCATAACTAATGTTGACGACTCTTTATCGGATGTGTTTTTGAAGCATTTTAAACATTTGTACATTTATGTTTTTACAGGGAAGGGAAAAGAAGACATGTAAGTTACTTCATTTTCGTGGTCACCGTCTACATTTAAAATGCTAACTTTCTTTTACCTTTTGTCATGTCAACGAGCAATTGACAATTGAGATCCTAATCACATTGTAATGATATTAATGCACAGAACAATGGAAGAAGAAAAATGTCCGTTTACCTGGAAAGATCAGAAGCTTATGTTCGCTACTCTTTTTATTTATTTTTTTTTTTTTTTTGTTGCAAATTTAGGAAGATGCCTCCTCCCGTCCCTGAAAATCTCCAAGAAGGTAACCCTATAAGTGATTATTGTGCACCGTGGTAGCAAACTAATTTTTTTCGCTTTTTAAACATGTCAAATAGACAAAGTCATTTGTGGAAACGATGAAGCAGATGACTGAAATCTTGTCTGCATGTACATGCTTGAAATTAGATGTCAAAATAAATCAGAATTGAAGTGAGAGTAGATATTTTATGTCCGCTTATACAAATATGTCTTTAAGTTTCAAATGCATTCTACATGAATGGACATTTTCACGTGAGGCTTATAGTTTAAATGCGGGCGATTCATGCCTTCTTTATTTACACTTAAAAACTAAATTTTAAACTAAAGTACATGTACCTGTAACTGTGTTTTAGAGCATGCCTATGAAGGACTGACTATTCGCTGAGGTGTGACGGAATGCCCCGGGCAGCATTGCAAGGTAAGGGTTCTGAGACAAATATCGAAATGTTGTTAGAACTGACATATTGTACGTAGATCACGACTTATAAATGCCAATCAGAGCATTTACATAATACCGTCGTACAATCAGGATTGTTTACAACATATTTGTTTCAGTATACGTTCTTATTTTCTGTTACAGATTCTTCACAAGCCCATCCGCTACCTCCCTGAACAGTCTATTTGTGTCACCATTCACGTTTATAAGAAACGAGAACAAATGAATTATCACTTTAACTTGCTATGTTTTAACACATTTTAGTAATCTTTAAAATGTCAGAAAAAATTCATACCTCCTTGATACATGTATATACCCTGAAACACCATTGTGTCGAATATTAATATCGTAGCAACTTTCCAGCGGATGAAAACAACGGTTGTCACGAAGTATAAGTTTGGTCGATACGCATTCCTTTCATAATTTTCGGTTGTGTCGAACACAGGAAGTTCCATTTATTTACTCAGCCTTCGCCTTTGACACAATGGTATCCGCATGTATGTAATTGGATGTATCACACTGCTTCTTCAGGCAATGCGAATTCCTCATGTATGTAATTAATGTATGCAGCTTTTATAGTATGTATTTCATTATTTTCAAGTATTTTCTTTGAGTATATTAGGTCATTACTGTAGCCTCATTGCCGTAATCTCATTATACTGATAGAGAACATATTCGACTAAATGATACATATGTACTATGTTAAACTTTGATTGATTGTCTCACCCAGATGGAATATCATTTAAACTACATTTGTTGGTGGGTTTGGGGTTTTTTTTGTGTGTATTTTGTGCTTTGTGTTGGTGTTTTTTTATTATTATTTTTTTCATTTATGTTTTCAACACCATTTTGATCAGACTTCACAAGATAGAATAACTAGGAACGTCAACTACTTGTACCATATTTATGTTTGTGTACATTTTAAATCTTTACTGTTTGCACCACCATACAAGGGTCTTCATAGTAATGATTCTTATGTATAATTGCATGCATTGACTATGTTTTACTACACGTGTATTATATACAATATACGTTTCGTTGTTAATATTTGCTTTTTGCTGTTGTTTCATCATATGGAGAATGGAAATATATTTGTAAAATTGATTGATTGATTTATTCTTGTTTAATAATTAACGCTGCACTCAGCAATATTACAGCTATATGATCTGCAAATAATCGAGTCTAGACCTATCAATCCTGTGATCACCAGCATGAGCATCGTACTACGCAATTAGGATACGATATGGATGACATGTGTCAACCAAGTCAGCGGGGCTGACCACCCAATCCTGTTAGTGGCCTCCTACGACAAGCATTGGTTACTGAAGACCATTTCTTAGCTGGATCTTCATGGGTATATTTTCGTAACAAGTAGGGATACCAACATAGTGTTGACACATTTCATTTGAAAATTAACGAATGTTACTTATTGCCTAACCCACGATGGATATAATTCCGGATATCAAGTTCCTTTCTTATCTTGTAATCTTGTAATCTTGATCGCAAGAAACTTCAAAGCATCAAATATGACATATTTATACAAAATGTTAGAGAAAGCAGTTAAACCAAGATTCTGGATCACCTTTAGTCTCGGGGCCTGCTTAATATGTACCAGTCGGCTTACAGAAGTGGATTCAGTACAGAGACAGCTCTCAATAAAGTATTAACCGATCTGAGGACCAGTGTGGATGACGGAAATGTTGCGTTTTTTCTCCTGTTAGATTTATCAGCGGTATTTGATACTTTGCTAATAGACCGACTTCATACTGAATATGGTTTAGAAGGCATTGTTTCGGACTTGTTCCGCTCGTATCTGAGAGACAGATACCAGAGACAGAGAATTAGCTTTAATGCTACTTCATATGACAAAACTATTTTGACGTGTGGTGTAACCAAGATTCGGTACTTGGCCCAGTACTATTTACGTTTACAGCAATCCTGTCTCTCAAGTCATTAGTAACTGTGCCATCAATGATCATTTTTATGCTGATGACACGCAATTATACAATAGTTTTGCTCTGGATGACCAGTCACAGACGTCAGAACTCAGTGCTATGGAAACTTTACATCCAAAGTTAGCGCCTGGATGAACGTCAACATGCTAAATTCGAACAGGGATATGACAGAGGTCTTGCTCATGAGACCTGGCAAAAGGCTGCAAAAGATCAAAACAGCTCGTATCACAGTCGACAGTGACGATATCAACTTTTGACAATTGCTATTTGAATGTGCAGCTATACTCGTTACTCAGCATTGACAAACACATCAATGACCTCGTCAATAACCGTTACTTTCACCCCGAAACATAGGTAGTATACGCCACCTTCTCACTGAACAAACAGCTGCAGCACCTGCACGTTCAATGATCCTCGCCAGGATTGACTATTGTAATAGTCTGCTTGTAGGGGCTCCAGTGCAACAAATGAGAAGGCTGAAAAACATCCAGAACTCAGCGGCTAGAATTGTCACTCTGTCAAAAATGTCCTGTCACATCACTCTGGTACTCCTCATGCTGCCGGTCAAAGAACGGACACATCATAAGATCCTCGCCCACATATATCAGTGTATCAATGCTACAGCTCTTGATTATCTGTGTGGTCTAGTAGAAGACTATGTTGCTACAAGAACTCTCCGTTCCAGTGATCAAATACTACTAAAGGTCCCCAACATCAGGCTCAAGACATTTGTCGGAAGATCCTTCGCATATAATGCTGTCGTTGAATGGAATGCTCTCCCATTGGATCTGTAATCAACTCCAACTCGCACGGGTTTCAAAAAGCATCTTTAGAACTACCTGTTCAATAGAAATGGATTGTAAACATGTGATATCTATCAACTTTGTTTAGCGCTTTGAGCAAACTTTGGTGTGGAGTTTGGCGCAAAATAAGAATCCATATTAGTACATTATTATATATTTTAATACACATCAAAGTAAGCAGAAGCCTCACAACTTGCATACCCTGCTGACGGTTTTATACATTTCTACGTGACAGCATCACGAATCATACTTAAAATACAATGTCAGTTTCTTACGAGTATTACTAAAATACAACGTGATCATATATTACATGTTTTTTATTACTATCTAGGAGGTGTTTTCGTAACAGTATTGATAGCACAGATGTGTGATAAATCAAGTTTGAAAAACCGATAAATAGAGATTTACAAATGCATGTACACACAGATGAAGCAGTGTGTAATGTGGCGCATTCGGTGAATTTAGAAGAGACATTCCTATTACCCTTATGTTTCATGATTGAGAGTTGTACAAACGGTTTTAATCGAAACATCTCATTGTCTCGAACATGTACGCATGTTGTGTCTACATAGTTTCGTTACAACGATAATCAGGCATATGTATTGATAAATCCCTCATTGATTTAAACGTGGTTGATGAAAGCGTATCTGAACTGTAATTATAGATATCTCTCAGTAATAGTGTGGCCCCATCCTTCAAATCAAAACAAATTTCATAGAACATAAATGCCGCGTGTATGTGGGTACTCAGTGAATAGTGTTTTAAAAGTAATAACAATGTGTTCAATATCTTTTGTCTGCTGGTTTCTGTAACATGTCGAACACAACTTCAAGAGTTATTTTGGCACAAAAAAATAATCATTTTTCACCTAAGGGGAATTGAAGCCTGTCATTCACTTGACTTTTCTCCAAAGGGGAATTGAAGCCTGCCATTCACTTTTATGGTATACGTCAATACACTACTTTTATAAGTTTGTAATTAATTTCTTGAAATTATGTTCAGTTGCAGTAATATAAACTAGAAATGATATGTAGTATATTATGTCAGTATGGATGACGTATATTATGTCTGGTGAGGACTCATTACACACCAACACCAGCAAGCACATAGTCGTGGACTAGTCAGTACCAATGTTAGTGATAAGATCAACTGTACCGGACAATCCATGGCCTCTTAATACTAATATGAAAAACGACTTTAAACTTACCCGTAATGTTGCAACACCAGCAATCACATAGTCGTGGACTATTCAGTACCAATGTTAGCGATAAGCACTTACATAATATCCTCTGTACCATGGCCTGTTAAATCTAATATGAAAAACGACTTTAGTAGTAGGAGTAATAGCGGTACGGGATCAAGTCCAAAAGGCCTCTGCAAAGCTTTATTTCACGAATAAAGCTTTTGTCAGACCTTTAAATCTTACCCAATATTGTCTACTATTTTTGACCCCCAGTTAACTTCCCGACCCGACGTGGCATAATAGTGTCACTATGACTGCGAACTAGCACTTTCCTGATCACATGATCGCCCTATGTCATGTTGATAGGAAACAGTTTAATGTGATACAGGATACTATTGGGATCACTCAACAGTAAGTGTTAAATAGTTTGCTTGGGTGGCAACATTGTATCGTACAGTATGATCAATAATTCCTCTCTAACGAGCCCTCTCCCTGGTCCATCTCTCAAGTCCGTCTCCGTAGTACAAGTTCGACTCGTCAGCTTTGATGTCCACTTTATCTATGTTGTAAGTTTTGATTGACCATATCGGATCGGTGGTTCGCTTACGACTATCACCCTCATGTTCCCCCGGCTGGTAGAGGTACCTCATGAGAGCACGGTCAGGTACCAGCTTCTCCTTACCACCCTGTGATTGTGCAGCCGAATCAGCGACCACTGATTTTAGTTTGATAGTGTCGACCGGCTTCTTACCGATGAGACGAGTGATTTCGTGATTGATAGCCGACACCACCTGAGGTAGCCTCGCGGCCCATTTAGTGTTGGGTTTATTTAGACTTATTTCCTGAGCGTACTGATGCCTCAATAAGCGCTCGGCCAAAGTCCTATTGAATCTCTCAACTATGGCTTGGCTGCGACAGGCTCCGGCCATGCCATGCCTGACCTTGGTATCGTGTTTGTCCAGCAGGTGTGACACGGCACCCATGAACTCCCATCTGGGGTCAACTTGGAGCTCTGTTGGCCACGTCAGTGAACTGCGCTTGTATATGCGCACCATGACTTGAGCCACCTGATTCGAATCTTTCGCGGTTAAGGGCTCTGCTTCCTTATACCGGCTGGCCACATCCACGATAGTCAGGGCATACTTGTAGGTTTTGTGCCTCACCCTGTCGTAGGGTAGGAATAGGAGGTCGGCCTGGTGAACGCTATTGGGTATGTTAATACCGAACTTCCTTC